TTGTCCGCCAAAAGAAATGTTTCTTCAATGTCATCTTGTAGCTTATACATTCTATAAGGTTTTGGTTATGCGCAATTCTTGAAGAGTAATAGGATTTCGCGGTGCAGCTTGAATCTCGTTGCGTTTTCGTCTGATAGTTTTCCTCAGTGCGGAAATATTTGGCAGTCGGACTTGGGCAGCCTGAGTAATATTACCCAAACTTTCGTTAATAACCTTAAATCAAGAAGATAAATAATAAAAAAATAAATTAATAAATAAAAAATAAAAATCAATAAAAATGAATAAAAATAAATAAAAATTAATAAAAATGTATAAAAATAAATAAAAATGTTTAAAAATGAATAAAAATTAATAAAAATGAATAAAAATGAATAAAAATGAATAAAAATGTTTAAAAATGAATAAAAAATGAATAAAAATGAATAAAAATGAATAAAAAATGAATAAAAATGAATAAAAATGAATAAAAATGAATAAAAATGAATAAAAATGAATAAAAATGTTTAAAAATGAATAAAAATAAATAAAAATGAATAAAAATGAATAAAAATGAATAAAAATGAATAAAAATAAATAAAAATGAATAAAAATGAATAAAAATGAATAAAAATGAATAAAAATGAATAAAAATGAATAAAAATGAATAAAAATGAATAAAAATGAATAAAAATGAATAAAAATGAATAAAAATGAATAAAAATGAATAAAAATGAATAAAAAATGAATAAAAATGAATAAAAATGAATAAAAATGAATAAAAATGAATAAAAATCGAATAAAAATGAATAAAAATGAATAAAAATGAATAAAAATGAATAAAAATGAATAAAAATGAATAAAAATGAATAAAAATGAATAAAAAATGAATAAAAATGAATAAAAATGAATAAAAATGAATAAAAATGAATAAAAATGAATAAAAATGAATAAAAATGAATAAAAATGAATAAAAATGAATAAAAATGAATAAAAATGAATAAAAATGAATAAAAATGAATAAAAATGAATAAAAATGAATAAAAATGAATAAAAATGAATAAAAATGAATAAAAATGAATAAAAATGAATTAAAATGAATAAAAATGAATAAAAATGAATAAAAATGAATAAAAATGAATAAAAATGAATAAAAATGAAAAAAATGAATAAAAATGAATAAAAATTAATAAAAATTAATAAAAAGTAATAAAAATCAATAAAAATTAATAAAAATCAATAAAATGAATAAAAATGTATAAAAGTGTTTTAAAAATGAATAGAAAAGAATAAAAATAAATAAGAATAAATAAAAAGGAATAAAAATGAATAAAACGGAATAAAAATGAATAGAAATAAATAAAAATAATTAAAAATAAGTAAAAATAAATAAAAATGAATAAATATAAAAAAAAATGAATGAAAATCAATAAAATTAATAAAAATTAATAAAAATTAATAAAAATTAATAAAAATTAATAAAAATTAATAAAAATTAATAAAAATTAATAAAAATGAATAAAAATGAATAAAAATGTTTAAAAATGAATAAAAATGAATAAAAATGAATAAAAATGAATAAAAATGAATAAAAATGAATAAAAATGAATCAAAAATGAATAAAAATGAATAAAAATGTTTAAAAATGAATAAAAATAAATAAAAATGAATAAAAATGAATAAAAATGAATAAAAATGAATAAAAATAAATAAAAATGAATAAAAATGAATAAAAATGAATAAAAATGAATAAAAATGAATAAAAATGAATAAAAATGAATAAAAATGAAAAAAAAATGAATAAAAATGAATAAAAATGAATAAAAATGAATAAAAATGAATAAAAATGAATAAAAATGAATAAAAATGAATAAAAATGAATAAAAATGAATAAAAATGAATAAAAATGAATAAAAATGAATAAAAATGAATAAAAATGAATAAAAATGAATAAAAATGAATAAAAATGAATAAAAATGAATAAAAATGAATAAAAATGAATAAAAATGAATAAAAATGAATAAAAAATGAATAAAAATGAATAAAAATGAATAAAAATGAATAAAAATGAATAAAAATGAATAAAAATGAATAAAAATGAATAAAAATGAATAAAAATGAATAAAAATGAATAAAAATGAATAAAAATGAATTAAAATGAATAAAAATGAATAAAAATGAATAAAAAATGAATAAAAATGAATAAAAATGAATAAAAATGAAAAAAATGAATAAAAATGAATAAAAATTAATAAAAATTAATAAAAAGTAATAAAAATCAATAAAAATTAATAAAAATCAATAAAATGAATAAAAATGTATAAAAGTGTTTAAAAATGAATAGAAAAGAATAAAAATAAATAAGAATAAATAAAAAGGAATAAAAATGAATAAAACGGAATAAAAATGAATAGAAATAAATAAAAATAATTAAAAATAAGTAAAAATAAATAAAAATGAATAAATATAAAAAAAAATGAATGAAAATCAATAAAATTAATAAAAATTAATAAAAATTAATAAAAATTAATAAAAATTAATAAAAATTAATAAAAATTAATAAAAATTAATAAAAATTAATAAAAATTAATAAAAATTAATAAAAATTAATAAAAATTAATAAAAATTAATAAAAATTAATAAAAATTAATAAAAATTAATAAAAATTGATAAAAATTAATAAAAATTAATAAAAATTAATAAAATTAATAAAAATTAATAAAAATTAATAAAAATTAATAAAAATTAATAAAAATTAATAAAAATTAATAAAAATTAATAAAAATTAATACAAATTAATACAAATTAATAAAAATTAATAAAAATTAATAAAAATTAATAAAAATTAATAAAAATTAATAAAAATTAATAAAATTAATAAAAATTAATAAAAATTAATAAAAATTAATAAAAATTAATAAAAATTAATAAAAATTAATAAAAATTAATAAAAATTAATAAAAATTAATAAAAATTAATAAAAATTAATAAAAATTAATAAAAATTAATAAAAATTAATAAAAATTAATAAAAATTATTAAAAATTAATAAAAATTAATAAAAATTAATAAAAATTAATAAAAATTAATAAAAATTAATAAAAATTAATAAAAATTAATAAAAATTAATAAAAATTAATAAAAATTAATAAAAATTAATAAAAATTAATAAAAATTAATAAAAATTAATAAAAATTAATAAAAATTAATAAAAATTAATAAAAATTAATAAAAATTAATAAAAATTAATAAAAAGTAATAAAAATTAATAAAAATCAATAAAATGAATAAAAATGTATAAAAGTGTTTAAAAATGAATAGAAAAGAATAAAAATAAATAAGAATAAATAAAAAGAAATAAAAATGAATAAAAATGAATAGAAATAAATAAAAATAATTAAAAATAAGTAAAAATAAATAAAAATGAATAAATATAAAAAAAAATGAATGAAAATCAATAAAATTAATAAAAATTAATAAAAATTAATAAAAATTAATAAAAATTAATAAAAATTAATAAAAATTAATAAAAATTAATAAAAATTAATAAAAATTAATAAAAATTAATAAAAATTAATAAAAATTAATAAAAATTAATAAAAATTAATAAAAATTAATAAAAATTAATAAAAATTAATAAAAATTAATAAAAATTAATAAAAATTAATAAAAATTAATAAAAATTAATAAAAATTAATAAAAATTAATAAAAATTAATAAAAATTAAAAATTAATAAAAATTAATAAAAATTAATAAAAATTAATAAAAATTAATAAAAATTAATAAAAATTAATAAAAATTAATAAAAATTAATAAAAATTAATAAAAATTAATAAAAATTAATAAAAATTAATAAAAATTAATAAAAAATTAATAAAAATTAATAAAAATTAATAAAAATTAATAAAAATTAATAAAAATTAATAAAAATTAATAAAAATTAATAAAAATTAATAAAAATTAATAAAAATTAATAAAAATTAATAAAAATTAATAAAAATTAATAAAAATTAATAAAAATTAATAAAAATTAATAAAAATTAATAAAATTAATAAAAATTAATAAAAATTAATAAAAATTAATAAAAATTAATAAAAATTAATAAAAATTAATAAAAATTAATAAAAATTAATAAAAATTAATAAAAATTAATAAAAATTAATAAAAATTAATAAAAATTAATAAAAATTAATAAAAATTAATAAAAATTAATAAAAATTAATAAAAATTAATAAAAATTAATAAAAATTAATAAAAATTAATAAAAATTAATAAAAATTAATAAAAATTAATAAAAATTAATAAAAATTAATAAAAATTAATAAAAATTAATAAAAATTAATAAAAATTAATAAAAATTAATAATAATTAATAAAAATTAATAAAAATTAATAAAAATTAATTAAAATTAATAAAAATTAATAAAAATTAATAAAAATAATAAAAATTAATAAAAATTAATAAAAATTAATAAAAGTTAATAAAAATTAATAAAAATTAATAAAAATTAATAAAAATTAATAAAAATTACTAAAATTAATAAAAATTAATAAAAATTAATAAAAATTAATAAAAATTAATAAAAATTAATAAAAATTAATAAAAATTAATAAAAATTAATAAAAATTAATAAAAATTAATAAAAATTAATAAAAATAATAAAAATTAATAAAAATTATTAAAAATTAATAAAAATTAATAAAAATTAATAAAAATCAATAAAAATTAATAAAAATCAATAAAAATCAATAAAAATGAATAAAAATGAATAAAAAGAAATAAAAATGAATAAAAAGGAATAAAAATGAATAGAAATGAATAAAAATAATTAAAAATAAGTAAAAATAAATAAAAATGAATAAATATAAAAATAAGTAAAAATAAATAAAAATGAATAAATATAAAAATAAATATTAAAAAAAAAATGAATGAAAATCAATAAAATTAATAAAAATTAATAAAAAAGGAAGTCATGTATTTTTTTATATTAGCAACAGCTAGTGATCAATAAATTAATAATTACCTGAATTGTTCCTTCAGTTGCCACTTCAGCACGCTTTTTAACGGCTGTTACTATTTGTGCAGCTTCTACATCTGCTGCTGAAGCTCCATGAGTGTGTATGTTCACTTTTTTTATTGCTTCGCCATTTCTAGTATGTAATCGTGCATTACACATTCCCCTTTTTTCTCATTTCCAAAATTTTACGTCGTTATCTTTTTTGCTAAAGTTATCAAAAAGATAAATATAACAATTTGAGCTGAACTTCGCATTTCCTCTGTTAGATAAAATTTCTTGGTTCATACTGACACACTTTTGCGAAATAATTGTTATATCGACACAAGTATTTACACCAAAGAATCACAAGATACTAGATATTCAAAAATGTTCTTTGTTTATATATAACTAATATAATACGAGTAATACAATTAATATGTAGTTTAAGTTTAAAAAGTGATTAAAAGAAGTAAGTAATCCCATTTCCGGCTGGTGTAATCCTATAATAGATACTTTAAACACAAATAAAAATTCTTTGTTTATATTTAACTAATATAATACGTGAAAAATAATTAATATTTAGTTTTAAATTAAGAAGTGATTATCAGAAGTGAGTAATCCTATTTGCGGCCGCTATAATCCTATAATAGGTACTTTAATCACAAGTAAACAGTAAATGCCAAAACAAGGTAATTAGGTCTCATATCGGTATAATTGTTTCATATATTTCTTTAAAGTAGTTAAGATTTATAAAAATGGAAAATACCTATCCAAAAGAAAACTATTATTAAGACATCATATATCCCGAAAAAAATAAGAAATTAAAACTCAGATATGGAATCGACGGCGAAACAGCGACGGCGAACTGGCTCGACGGCGAAACTGGCTCGACGGCGAAACGGCGATGGCGAAACGGCGACGGCGAAACGTCCCATCCCCTGTTATTAGGGCCCGTTGGCCAGCATGTGGGTTTTCCAGTAGAGTCATATTCACATCCTAGCTCATCAGCTACTTAGTGTAAATAATTGCCTTTAGTTGTAAATAGCTCAGTGCCTCATCTTTTATTGATAATGGCATGATAATCGCTTCTAATAACATAATGTCCTTCAAATGAAAATGTTTGTGAATATACTGCTGAAATATCGAAATTGCTTCTACTACCATGGTTGCTTGAATTGATTCTGTTTCATATTTAGATTCTTCATAATGTTTTAGGTTTTTTTTAATAGTGTGACTGTAATATAAGTTTTATGACCTCTTACTTTCATGTGGTTAGGTGCGTCTCAGATATTAGACACAAATCTATTTTTCTAGCTCTCTTGAATGATGTATTAATAATGTGATCTAGAAGATATATTATAAAATTAGCAACTTTTTTTATTACAAATCCTAATATGTCTACAAATCCACATAACGGCTTATTTTTAATGGTTTATATATGATTTTAGAAGGAAATCCAACCTATTTTCTCATTATATATAATTATTCCAAAGACATCATTGGATGCAATGTAAAAAAGAAAGAAAAAGACTCTTTAATATAAACTTATTAATAGGGCCACTTTACTCCGAATCAGATCTATAAATCTAGTTCATTGTATCAGAAATTTTTAAAAGATATTAATTAAATTTTGTAGAAATTAAGAGCGGATCATTTAAGAATTTATCCTCGATTTTTAAAGAGATATTACTTTTAATTTTTTGTTTATTAATAGGTTCATTATTGATATTGTTTTTATTGCTATACAAATTAATTTTATTGTAATAAAAATTACTTAGTATTTTGAACATCTATACCGTTAGATTTTATTTAATTTTACTACAAATATACCACTCTTATTGGGAGACACCCCTAATAATGTTACCGAAACACCAAAACTGCCGTAAATCTCCTGCCGTATTACAAGAAACATTATTTTTATCTGAAATCCTTTAGCGGCGTCCTGAACCCTTCTGTTTCCTTCTCCGTCCCCCTACTCTATAGGTACCTGGCGTCAGGCCATAAATTTAAGGCAATGCGATTAGACCGAGGATGGTAACTCTATAATTCTGCCCTATTTGACCTGACACGTATTAAACGTGTCCTGGTAGCTAGATACTTCCTGCGGGAATATCCTATGAATTCCCATGTTGATGCAATTCTCTAATCCGCTCTGATCAGCAGATTTAGATGCGAGAAAAAATGTACGATTACGTGCAGCCAATGTCGACATGGGCCCGAGGCTCGAGAGCAAAGGTTATCCAAAATAAATCCATTAGCGGCGGGGATATAAATAAATTTAATCATTTAATTCTGAAAAGCCAAAATTAAAAAAAATAAAATAAATTATATATAAAAAAAATAAGTATAATAAAAATGAGAAAGGAATAAGTAACATTATTTACAGTAAAATTGGAATTTGCCTTTTACAACAAATCATTTACAAATTGTAATAATCATAGAAATATTCGACCAATTTATAGTATGCTTCATGAAAATTATTATTAGGTAACCTTTTAATTTTTTCTGATATTGTTCAATTCTTTATATCCAGCGGCAGATGGTTAAATATTTTTTCCATTTGTAAACAATTCAGTCTCTATTTTATAGAATATAACATTTTGAAAATTAGAGTACTTACTTGGATCTGTAAGTAAGATCGAAGCACCATCTATTCATTAGAATTATAAGTAAAATTACTTATAAACAGATATTTTTAACCAGGAGGAGATATCGCCCGTGGTGTCATGGTGGCACTGACGTCAAGCACAGAGTTGGTAGAGTTGGCGCGAAACAAATAGCAGTGGTTTGAAAGTCATTTATAGTCATTTATAACATTCAAAGTAGCTATTTGTATTATATTATGTTATAAACTTTGTTCTTTGTGTGTGGTATTATAGTCTAGAGAAGAAAGGAATGCACTAATTTAATTTGCGAAAACATTTTATTTGTACCTCATCCTTCAATGCTTATTTGTGATTAAAATAAATATTTAATACGTCTGATCGGCCCAATAAAAGTTTTCGTTAAGTTTATCATGTTTCTATGGTTTTTACTGTAATAAATATTTTATTTTGACAGATAAGTCAGACTTTATTTATTCATAGCCGTATCGTATGTATTTTAATTAATTCCTCATTTTGTATCAGTTTATAAAGGGTGTCCAAATTTGACCTTCGGATTTAATTTAATAATAAAACACAAAAAGTCCTTCAACTAATATTGTATTGTTTTAAAGTTTAAATGTTACGGTTAATAATAAAAAATGATATCCGGCATGTGACCCCTCTGCTTTTTTAGTAAGCTAACATTCTTTTTACAAAATTTTCAAGAACATTTTCGCAAACATTCTGTTCAATTTCTTAAATTTTTGGAATAATGTTAACTCGAAGCTGTTCAGATATTTGAGAGTTATCAGCATAAATTTTTCGCTTCAAAAAGCCCCACAAGAAATAATCCAATGGTGTAAAGTCCTTGGCGGACAATTAAGCTCAGCTCTTCGAGAAATTATTCGAACGCCAAATCTCACCCTTAAAAGATTTAGTGTTTTTCCGATGTTTGACAAGTGGTACCGTCTTGCTGGAAACACATCCATATCCACTAATTCGTTCCACTAATATTCTTGTAATCATTGTCCTGTATCGCGCTTCATTTACAGTTATCGAATCACCAGCTTCATTCTGTAAAAAATAAGGACCGATAACGCCACTAGACCAAAAACTACACCACACAGTCACATTTACTGAATACAGTCGTTTTTCCAATATTTCTCTTGGATTTTATTCACCCCATATTCTGCTTTTGAAATTTCTTTATAAAACACTTAATAACTGTAACATATGGTGCTAAATTTCTTCCAAAATACGTAAGGCATCTTCTTGCAAGTTTTAGCAGAACATTCCCCATTTTGGTTATTAGTTTTTACAATAAAAACGGGGTTTTCGATGGACAGTTGTTCCATGTTGACCAAAAAACAAGTATCCGCAAAGTTTTTACTCGACATATGTTACCATAGAAATACTGTCAATAAAGATTACCAAAAATGGCGGCAAATTTAAAACGGAATGTCAAATTTGGACACCCAATATTATAATTTTACAGTTATATAAAAATGACGAGTGTATTAAAAAATATATCAAGCACAGGTACGCGTAAACGACCTACTGGACATAAAGCATCTTTAAAAGAAAAAATATTGTATGTGTTTCAGTTTCTGTGGATGAAATAGCCACTAAATGTAAGACCTATACTGGAGTATCTAAGCTGACAGTGTATAACATTATTAAAGAAGATACATTTATTGGAGGAATCTTACATCCGAAAAAGCCCCCAGGAAGAAACGAGACATTTATAAAAACTTGGGTAAAGAATGTAATAATTTATGCACTTTAAAAATTACAGGCATTAATATATACCGTTTTTCTTCCAAGGGGTAAAAAACGACATATTTTAGGCCTTGCCTAGGCTTGACCCTAATGAGATTACAACCCTGTTTTCCTCTCGCTTTACGCATATTTGCAACTCAAGTTACGCGTCCTTCTACAAGTCGTCAGCTAATCCCACCCGATTATAGTCGATCTAGTATTACTCTGTGTGACAGGTATGGATCTTGTCAGTACCTTCTTTAGGTAAGTCGTCAAGTGCTTACCGGAGTCAAGCCTAGGCAAGGCCTAAAATATGTCGATTTTTACCCTTTGGGGGAAAAACGCTATATATTTTAGTCCTGTGCCGTTGGCTTGACCCTAATGAGAAGTGTTTAGAATCTGACGACGATAAAGCGTACTGTAAAAATATAATGTGCAAACACCACTCAAAATTATTACATAAATAATTGATATAAACTTTATTCAAATCTATTAAAGGAAATAAGTATTATATAGGTACAAAAGAAGACAAAAAAATATTAGTTGCCGAAGGGCTAGTTATGCTTCGATCAATTTTCTTATAATAAAATAAAATAAAAAATTCTTTGAATTCTTCCTGTTTCCGGTTTCCAAATCTTTATCCGAAGAAACCTTATTATCAAATCGTGATGACGAGACCGCCGACCGAATACTTTCTGTAGAATAATCTATTCCGGCACTATCTAAGGCAGTTTTGACCCATCCTGCGATGGTCGCTCTGGAAGCCGGTCCCACCTTCCCTCTGGTAGTGATAAAAAAAATAATAAAATGACTTCTAGCCATCCGCCTAGTGGCTGA